ACAACGCTGCTATGAAGCTTTAGCAGGAAGGATACAGACATAAAAGACGGCCATGAAAAAGTGAGGGATGACTCCAATATTATCTCTTTTCCGTTCTTTGGGTTCTGTGGCTGTCCAGTACAGAGCATCCAGGATGTCTTGCCCAAAAGAAGAGAATAGACGGTCTGCAACCTAACAGTGGAGGGAAGGATGAAATCACAAGTTAACTTGATATAACGTAACTTAATATGACAATAGTTACATTAGTAATGTCTAATATAATATATCAATATCTTATCTGTATGAACAGGTAAGATTTTAGCAACAAATTCACTGACGTAACACTATACCTCTTATTAAAACTTTGGGATTAAAGCTGTTAGAGGAGCTTTTCAATCAGAATAATTACACTTCCCCCCAAAAGTAGAGCATTGTAATATGACAGATACACAAATTCATCAGATGTTCACTATGACACAAATTAGATCAACATTTTTGCAGCTCTGTCCTTATGCTTCATATGGTTGTCTGTCATTACCATCATTAGATATTTTTTGGTCTAGTAGGGTCTTATAAAACCACATAAAGCTCATGATCCACAGAGAAGTGCTAAGCTTTATTATGTATGCTGGTGTTTCCCCGAGGTTGACTGCTTGTCAACCTCAGGGAAACACTGTGCTAAAATGAAATGAGGGCACACAAATTAAGTAAAAAATAACAATTTAGTTTTAATGTTTTTATGTATTTATATCCCCTTTGGCTTCTTTTTGGGGTGGAGGGTTATTTTGTAGGGGGATGGGCTGCCCTTAAATGAAAATGGTAACACTGGATATCAGAAGAAGTAGACTACCACTTGCTGTACACACTGTTTAAGTTCTAACAATTAGTAATAAAATCCATCACGTAACACGACCATCACTCTTTAGTGTAGTAATCCTTGGGTACTTCCCTAAACTGGCAGTGTATTAACACACGGGCTGCATAAACAAACTGACTATTCGTATAAAACAGATGGAAAATAAAATTACAAGTAAAATTTGTTGTAAGGAGGCAAAACAAGGAAAGTAGAAGTAAGATGTAAACAAAGACAAAATATGTCTATACAGTTTGTATTTAATAAGTACATGTTTTAATAATTGAAACAT